GATTTGAAACATTAAATACTAATCGAAAATAAAGACATTATCCCACTTGTAAATCATCAACTATTGCATTGTGTAATTATTTATGCAACTGTATAAAAAATTTCAAATGAAACTCACCTTTATTATAAAGCAGCAAAAGGTAACTTTGCTGGTTTCTTGCCTGTGTGTTGTCAGACGATTGATATGTGTGCCGATCCACGTATGGTGTGTTCTATCATTTCACTCCCGTTTCCCAGAACTGTTAAAGACAGAGGATAAGTACTGGGACAAATCCTCTTTAAATATTCACGCCCCTTGCTTACGTCAGCGCATTCTAAAAGTCGCACTAGACTAGATAATAATTGATATCTGAAAATCGATGGAAAATTCGGAAGCATAGAGACACAGAGAAAGAGAGAGAGAGAGAGTGAGAGTGTGTCCTGCAAGTCATTGATTCGACAAGTAGAACCTATCGCCAGTAGTCGAAGAGTCAAATGGCACGTACGCAGGATATGATTGCCTGGTTGAATCCTATAGATGTACAAATTAATTATTTGTGACTTTGTGAATACCAAGGCTGCCATTTAAAGGCGTTTCATTCTCTAAATGTCATAATAAAGGTCAAATAGATGTACATCAAAATATTGCCAATATTTATTTTTTTCAAAAATTTTCTATTAACTCCTATTAAAAATACCATTCACACACACACACACACACACACACACACACACACACACACACACACACACACACACACACACACACAGTCGATGGCTGGCTAGATTAATGACTAGAAATAAACAGATATTTGATATATTTTTCGTCTACACCTCCTGATAACCTGAGAAGAGCACTATTGGAAAGAGTTGTGGGTGTTTCTTTTAAGTAACCAAGGGACTAAATTAGTGTATCCTATTGCATTTTTCATAGCGCACAATTTCCAAGAAACGTGCTTGTGACTAATTTGCTCAGTGTGTAATTCATGGTTAAAGGTAAAGTAAAAAGAAATTAAATCTATAAACAATATGAAGGCGTGCTGCAAGGTGTACTCTGCCAATATTCACAAAGTCACGTTTTATTTTAAATGTTGCGTCAAATCCAACAGCTTGAGTTATGACGGCTAACATTTCATTAAAAGTTTGTATGTCTAACTTGTCTTCACCACTTATCTATCTCTGTTTTTCTGTCTCTCTTTCTCTGTCTCTGTATCTCTCTGTATTTATATCACAAGTCCAACCATGTTTGCTTCTTATGTAATGGAAAAGAAATTAGTTTGCTACCCACTTCATCAGATTGGGTGGGGTAGGGTACGGATGGGGTAAAATTCTAGTTGAACATTCCGGATTTTTCTCCGGTCATACTTCCTGACTATATGCGTCTCCATCAGTACCACGCGCTAAAGGTCAGAAAAGGTATGTATGTATGTATGTATGTATGTATGTATGTATGTATGTATGTATGTATGTATGTATATATATATATATATATATATATATATATATTATATATATATATATATATATATATATATATATATATATATATATTATATATATATATATATATATATATATATATTATAATAATAATAATAATAATAATAATAATAATAATAATAATAATAATAATAATAATAATAATAATAATAATAATAATAATAATACAATGAAAGAAGTTACCGGAAGAAGTCAAGGTACCAGGTTTTACATTTAACGATTTTGCAATTGAAGAAAATATTTACATTTAGTCGACGTTTATATTAGGCTTGCATGCATACTAAAATCTATAACTAGGTGAGGTGGTGCATTTTGATAAGTACTATACTTATATTACAAATGTTGACCACTCTAATGTGTGTCATGGGGAATATTAAACCCTTATCACAAAAGCAGGTCATAGAGGCCCATATTTTTAGTATGGCGTTTATTATTAATGCTAGAGTCGAGAAACGTGAGCATGATACACATCTCTATTATTACTGTCCTTCATAAGAGCGAAAGGTAGCAGTCACCTTTATTTCACCATTTACTGACCTCACTGTCAACATATCATCACTCATTTTAGTGTAATGATATATCTTAATAAGAACTAAATCATTTTTATAAATAGGGTCTATTTGACATACAGTTCAATGTAGAGACAAAATGTAACGATCGCAGGCTTCGAAGTTAATATTATACCCTTTGAACATATACAGTGACAATGATGCATATTTCACTTTAATTTTTAGAAGCTATTTTAATTAGCCCATAATACTGTCATACCTTTAATCATGATGTCATTGATTGTAAACAGTACTGCACTCTTACGGTTAAACTGATCTATTTGATCTGTATTATATCTCTCGTTGATTTTAATTATATATAACATTTCAGATTCATTTTATTTTGCTTTGTTTATGGTCGAATCAAATAATTGGGTACACACAACAGGTTGATTACGTGTTGTGATAAGCTTCACCCAACAGGTTGTTTACTTGTTGTGATAGGTTACACCCAAAAGGTTGATTATGTGTTGTGATAGGTTACACCTAACAGGTTCATTACGTGTTGTGATAGGTTACACCCAACAGGTTGATTACGTGTTGTGATAGGCTACACCCAACAGATTGATTACGTGTTGTGATAGGCTTCACAAAACATGTTGATTACGTGTTGTGATAGGCTTCATCCAACAGGTTGATTGCGTGTTGTAATAGGCTTCACCCAACAGGTTGATTATGTGTTGTGATAGGCTACACCCAACAGGTTGATTATGTGTTGTGATAGGCTACACCCAACAGGTTGATTATGTGTTGTGATAGGCTTCATCCAACAGGTTGATTATGTGTTGCGATAGGCTTCACCCAACAGGTAGATCACGTGCTGTGATAGGCTACACCAAACAGGTTGATTGCTTGTTGTGATAGGTTATACACAACTGGTTGATTATGTGTTGTGATAAACTACACCCAACAGGTTGATTGCGTGTTGTGATAGGTTACACCCAACAGGTTATTATGTCTTATAATAGGTTACACCCAACATTTTGGTTATGTGTTGTGGTAGGTTACACCCAATAGGTTGATTATGTGTTGAGATAGGTTACATCTAAGAGGTTGATTGCTTGTTATGATAGGCTACACCTAACAGGCTGATTTCTTGTTTTAATAAGCAAACTCAACAGGTTGATTGCGTGTTGTGATAAGCTACACCCAACAGGTTAATTGCTTGTTGAGGTTAGCTACACTCAACAGCTTGATTATGTGCTGTAATAGGCTATACCCAACAGGTTGATCGTTTATTGTGATAGGCCATACCCAACATGTTGATTGCATGTTGTGATAGACTACACCAAAACATATGATTGCGATTTGTGATAGGATATACGCAATAGGTTGATTGTTTATGTGATAGGTTGTGATAGGCTGCACTCAACAGTTTGATTGCTTGCTGTGATAGGCTTCCACCAAACAGGTTGATTGCGTTTTGTGATAGGCTGCACGCAACAGGTTGATTGCGTGTTGTGATTGGCTACACCCAACTGATTGATTGCGTGTTGTGATAGGCTGCAACCGACAGTTTGATTGCGTGTTGTGACAGGCTACACCCACCAGGTTGATTACGTGTTGTGATACTCAACAGGTTGATTGCGTGTTGTGACAGTCTACACGCAACAGGTTGATCACGTGTTTCGATAGGCTGCACACAACAGGTGGATTACGTGTTGTGATAGGCTACACCCATCAAATTAATTGAGTGTTGTGATAGGTTACACAAAAACAGGTTGATGGTGTGTTGTGACAGGCTACACAAAAACAGGTTGATGGTGTGTTGTGACAGGCTACACAAAAACAGGTTGATGGTGTGTTGTGACAGGCTACACAAAAACATGTTAATGGTGTCTTGTGATTGGTTACACCCAACAGGTTGATTGTGTGTTGTGATAGGCTACACTTTACAAGATGAATATGTCAATATGCTTCTTTTTCTGTAATGCAATTAAGTAGGTTGTAGAACAGATGCAAGGGTTACACCATGGGTGAAAGTTGATCACGTAGCTGAGTGCCCTTGCATGAAATGAGTTTATTGCAATAATCTATTGTCCTTAAACTTCCACTAGGTAACATATTACTCCTTGGTGTTAATAATGAAAATATTTTCTGAAACCTATTTGATGAAAATTGGTCTTCATAAATAATATTTGTTTCGCAACAACATATTATAGTACATCTGCGTTGATATTTTAGAAAAAGTATTTTCTCTACTTCACGAGAAGTGTGTCATATTACAGGGACCAGCATGCACCAGGTGAAGATCATTTTAGTCTAAATTTATTTTTTGCGTGATACTTCATATTTACAAAGGCTGAATGAGCTTCCTAAAAGCTTCGTGGATTCTTGGAGGCGTGATATACAAACATTGATTACACTCAGGTTCCCAACTTCCTATGATACACGCGTTAGATAGCTGCTGTCGGAAGAACTTTAGCCGATTCAGTCCCTGAATTAGATTTGAGTGGCAAGTTTGTATGTTATTGGAACAGATTTCGGTCTCAATAAAGGTTTGTATAACGTCGCCTGGAGCCGAAAATTTGAAATTTATCGCTGAATGGGTTACCTACTATTTTTAACGATTTTGATCACTTTTTTTCTAACTGTATAACTGTTTTTATCACCCATCTTGATAGACCTCAAGACTGGTATCTGTTTCCAACATTTGGTCTGCGTAAGCAGTTGATATAATGACAGAATTGGACCTCTCGAAAATTTGTGTGTGTGTATCTATGTGTGTGCGTGTGTGTGTATGATTTGGATTTTTAACGCAGCTTTAACAATTTATCAGTCATATCGCTACGATGTCTGCAATGTGGCAGTTTATAGTGATGCCCAATACTGGGATATCATGCCACAGACATGTAGCATGATGTCCCACATAGTCACATTATCCTGACACCAGGCTGACCAGTCCTACTAATAACCTCTTACTGTTGAGTGCCTAGAGAGGCATTTTTTATTGGCATTTTATAAGTCTTTTGTATGACTCGGCCGGGGATGGAACCCGCTATCTCCCGCATCCGAGTCGGATGCTTTAACCGCTTGGCCATCGGATCCATCTAGAAAATTTGAAATAGTTCGATCTTTAAATAAACAACAACAAAAATATGGCGATAATTTGATAAATTCATTTCTCCAGTTCTATCACGATATTTATTACTCTAAAATCACGTGATCTATCAGACCCTATGGTATTATTTGACAAATGTAGAAACACTAGGTCAACTCGATTAGAAGGATGATTAACTGCTAGGAAATAATAAACCCGAGAACTGGACAAGGGTATTATATTTAGTGTGATGAGAGTTAGGAGCTTTCTTTAATCCTATGGCGAGATTCGGTTTTGGCCTTAATACTTTGGCAAACTCTTCGGTACAGAATATATATCACGGCAGATATAACTATTCTATCGTGTTTGATCCGGGCACAACCTATTATTGTTAAGTCGATTAAAATATGTCTTGAATGTACTGAAATAGTATCTATCCAGTGCATTGCTAACAAAGAGTTCTATGAGAGTTTTATGACTGAGCTTTCTTCACGGATTACTCGTGACATAAATTAGTTGGATTTAACTCAGATGTAAGTTCCTACAGGCGTATGTTAGTTGTTAGAGTTAATATCAGTGATATTATTAGGATATATATTTTGTTTAATTGAATTGTGAAAACCAAACGTTATTTGAGATTTTGGTTTGTAAACAAGTGGTCAATACTAGAAGTAGTGAGGATGCCTTCGGGAATGGAAAATAAAAACCTATATCAGGCAAGATTACAAAGTACTTCCAAGCGGAATTTAAGGTGACTGCACAATGAATGTGTGTGTGTGTGTGTGTGTGTGTGATTTAGATTTTTAACATAGCTATAACATTTTTACAGTCATATCGCTACGATGTCTGCAGGGTAACAGTTTATAGTGATATCTAGCACTGGAGCATCATGCCGCAGACATATGGCATGATGTCCCACCCAATCACATTATCCTGACATCAGGCCACCCAGTCATAACACAATCCCTTAATGCTGGGGGCCAAACGAGGCAGCTGTTAGTACAAATTTTAAAGTCTTTAGTATGACTCGGCCGGGATTCGAACCCAAGACCTTTCGCATCTGAGGCGGACGCTCTAACCACTAGGCCACTGGAGCGATACTGCACAATGATGACTCCTAATGGCATATTTTGTGATTTAGATTTTTAACGTAGCCTTAACAATTTTTCAGTCATATCGCCGAGTGTCTGCAGTGTGACAGTTTATAGTGATGTCTAGCAGTAGAGCATCATGCTGCAGACATGTAGCATGATGTCCCACCCAGTCACATTATCATGACACCAGGCCCACCAGTCCTAACACTAACTTCTTAATGCTGAGCGCCAAGCGAGGTAGCTGTTAGTACCAGGAGTACAAAGTATTAGTCCTTACCAACTTTTCCGAAGACAGGCCGAGGCCAGCAGAAGTTTTGCAGAGACTTGTGGCAACTGAAGCAAAACCAGAGATGATAGAAGACCTGCAAAATGGAGGCCGGGACATGTTTTTATATGTTCCTCTAAAATGATTCCCCTAAAATGACAATCCTTTGTACAAAACCAGATATACGCTCGAAAGTAAAGGGGAAAGAGGCGAAAATCTATAGCCCACCACAGCTCTCAAAGCAACTTGGACAAAAAGCTATGGAAATGAATGTGTTTGGACTCTACCTATAAATTCTAAATACAGAGCCACTAGAGAAAATGGAAAATAAATTCGGAATAAAACTTATAAATCAACAAATGCCTACATACTGAGGATTTCCAAAAATTCGGACAGGGGTGAGAATTATCACCATAGGAGAAGCAGACGCTACAAAAATACCTACATGCTTCTACGTGATGGGATTTATTATTAAAAAGTGGTACAAGGGATGCCAGTATCATCGCCCATGATTTAAATAATGGAATACAGGCCACCTGCAAAGTGACTGTCAAACCAAAATACGGATAAAGAATCCTATGTAGTATCATCAGCAAACAAAAAAATCAAGAAGTGGTAGCTGCGGTCCCAGACCCATTAAAGCAAAATCAAGAAATCAGAACAGTAGAGGAAGAAGTCATCCAGAAAATCAGATAGTCAAGGCACAAACGAAGGAAATAAAGAAACAAATGAAAAGTCGACTGCTGACAGCAATGACTCAATCAACGGCACATAAGGCTCAGAAAAAAATGGATAGACGCCAGCCAAACAAGTTCTGCTAAAAAAAGAGCAAAACCAAGGGTAAGGAGAGTACAAAAAATAGGGAACAAGAATTGAGAGAAAAGAATCAACCTGAAAAGAAAAGAAAAACTCTGATATAAAGGACATAATACCCCAGGGAAGCTAAACAATAGAGGATTCTATGATTATGGAACCACCCCCCAACAAGAAAATACAGAAAGGGATTCGTCCACACCTATCATGGCGCAAAAGAGGAAAAGATCGGCTTATCGAAAGAAGCCAGAAAATCCCATAGAGCGAGCTCCCTGAACAGAGATTACTAAAAGGACACGCAAAGAAGACCACTGACTTTACACAAGTAAAACGAAAAACGGATTGCCTACTAGGGAGAAAATAACTCTCGGAAACTTAACAAATAACTTACATACAACTAACGTTCTGGTCATTCTTTTAAATTACGTTTATTCTGCAGCTCAGACAAATTGTTAGTGATTCTGCTATATTGTTTTTTAAGTCATTAATAATTGTGTATCGTCATAAGCTATTTCAAAATGTAATACATATCAGTTTCTTTATTAATTGGCATCAATATAAATATTGGCGTATTTCATTATAAAAAAAAATATTTTTGACATTGCTAAGTTGATCCTTGTCCGAATGTCGTGATTTTTTCTGTATGTGAAACAAACATGTTTGTGAATCGGATCACATGAGCAGATCTGAGAGAATTAATATCTATTCCATAATCTGCGCATGTTTTACTCACTTTGTCTTCTTCTTTGTTCTTTACAATTTTATGTCGGAATGTCACATATTGATCATCCGACTTTAGAATATCTTCTTTCCTATTGATGGACCTGTTAAATTCAAGTTCAAACGAATCTGTCAATTTCTGTAAAAATTGTTGTTGCTTTCAAAGATAATACTGTCTTAATTTTCTTATGGTGTCACTTAGTATACAAAGACTCATTTGCCACGGACAACTGAGTCCAATTTCACTTCTGTTCCGTTAAGACGTTTGGAAAACTGTTTCCATTGTAACCGTAATGGTTCTATTTCAACCGTGATGCAACCCTAATATCCATTTAGTTGAATCTTGAACAACAAACTCTAAAATAGATTTACCTTTCATAAGGTGCCGGCCTATGATGTACATAACATGATATAATGCTGACGTGGGATATGTATATTCCCTTAATTGTTAAATTGTTGCTATCTGGCAGAAAAAAGGTTTATGAATCTAGATGGTGATTACATCTTCCAGTAGCATCATCCACGTCTTCTAATTTATGTTGCCCCGAGTAAATTCTTTGTTGCAAAATCAGACAAATTTTTATATCGTTTCCCAAAGTGCATATCGTTATCTTTGACCATTTTTGCACTTTGCCTAGATCTTTTACCGGTTTGTGATGTGCTATAAATGTAAAAGGTTTAGCAGATCAATCAAAATGTTGTGGAGTTTTACCGTTTGTCAAAAGAATAAAAGTCACTTTCTACAGACAAAGGCATTTTGCTAACGGATGACAGTTTCGTGTTTGAATGTAAAGGTGAAACACGTAAACAGATCGATCGAACTCTGATCACTTTTGTGTTAAATACCAGTCAGAAAAACTATAACTATATAACCAGATGTTGCTATTCAGTTTTTATCACTGTTGTGTTAAATACCAGTCAGAAATACTATAAACAAATAACCAGCTGTTGCTATCCAGTTTGTATCACTGTTGTGTTAAGTACGAGTCAGAAATACTATAACCCTATAACCAGCTGTTACTATCCAGTTTGAATGACTGTTGTGTTAAATAACAGTCAGAAATACTATAACCCTATATCCAGCTGTTGCTATCCAGTTTGTATCACTGTTGTGTTAAATACCAGTCAGAAAAACTATAACCCTAAAACCAGCTGTTGCTATCCAGTTTGTATCACTGTTGTGTTAAATACCAGTCAGAAATACTCTAACCATATAACCAGCTGTTCCTATCCAGTTGTATCACTGATGTGTTAAATACCAGTCAGAAATACTATAACCCTATAACCAGCTGTTGTTATCCAGTTTGAATCGCTGTTGTGTTAAATACCAGTCAAAAATAATATAACAATATAACCAGCTGTTGCAATCCAGTTTGTATCACTGGTGTGTTAAATACCAGTCAGAAATACTATAACCCTATAACCAGCTCTTGCTATCAAGTTTGTATCACTGTTGTGTTAAATACCAGTCAGAAATACTAGAACCCTATAACCAGCTCTTGCTCTCCAGTTTGTATCACTGTTGTGTTAAATACCAGTCAGAAATACTATAACCCTATAACCAGCTGTTGCTATCCAGTTTGTATCACTGTTGTGTTAAATACCAGTCAGAAATACTATAACCCTATAACCAGCTGTTGCTATACAGTTTGAGTCACTGTTGTGTTAAATACCAGTCAGAAATACTATAACCCTATAACCAGCTGTTGCTATCCAGTTTGTATCACTGTTGTGTTAAATACCAGTCAGAAATACTATAACCCTATAACCAGCAGTTGCTATCCAGTTTGTATCACTGTTGTGTTAAATACTAGTCCGAAATACTATAACCCTATAACCAGCTGTTCCTATCCAGTTTGTATGACTGTTGTGTTAAATACCAGTCAGAAATACTATAACCCTATAACCAGTTGTTGCTATCCAGTTTGTATCACTGTTGTGTTAAATACCAGTCAGGAATACTATAACCCTATAACCAGCTGCTGCTATCCAGTTTGTATGACTGTTGTTTTAAATACCAGTCAGAAATACTATAACCCTATAACCAGGTGTTGCTATCCAGTTTGTATCACTGTTGTGTTAAATACCAGTCAGAAATACTAGAACCCTAAAACC